ACCCCTAAACCCTAGACCCTAAGACCCTAAAACCCTCCTCCTGAGCAATTCGGAATGAAAGTCCCACATAAGTCTAAGACTAGAAGTACTTGAAGGTTCATGGGTAGTTATAAGTGGGGTTATAAGGGGTTCTTTTAAGGGTTCCTTTAAAGGGTTCTATAGGGGTTTAGGGTTTAGGGTCTAGGGTTTGGAGGTTCATGGGTAGTTATAAGTAGGTCTATCAGTAAGGTAACTTTAGTTATAACCCGTATTAGGGGACTTATAACAATACTTATAACTACCCATGAAACTCCAAGCATGGGCCCCTAATACTAGGTATATGAGGATCCCAGGCTTAAGCCCATACTAGGGGCCCATGCTTCCAACCTTAGAATAATATACAAACGTGCATGATTACCAATCTTATTCGTAGGGTTCCTTATGGTCCTAGTACTATAGAGGGGAATATAGAAGCCTGAATGATTGCCAATATTATTCTTAGGCTTCCTTATGATAATAGTACTATAAACCCTATTCTAATTATGAAGGCCCCAACATTAGTGCCCATGTCATCATTCTGTAGACAGACCCGCCCTGGACCCTATACCCTACATCCCTAAATGCGACACCCTAAATCCTAAGCCCTAAGCCTTAACCCGAAACCCAGTACCGTAGATCCCTAGAAAGACAGCCCTAAACCCTAAACCCTAAACCCTAAACCCTAAACCCCAAACCCTAAACCCTAAAAGGACAAGGCCGACGCAGAGGAGGACAGCGACCAGGAGGACTTCGACCACCGGCCACTCACGCTCAAGGCCCTTGGGCTCTCAGGTTTAGGGTTTAGGGTTTAGGGTTTAGGGTTTAGGGTTTAGGGTTTAGGGTCCTTGGGCTCATTTGGAGGGCGGCTTTGGGGGAATCAGGAGTTTCGGGGTGTAGGGTTTTGTGTTCAGGTTCTAGGGGCTTCGTTGGGGATTTCAGGTTCCGGGTATGAGGTTGATAGACGTCTGTTTCAGGGTCGCGGGTTTAAGGTTTCGGGTCTATGCAGGGCTTGGTCATAGTCTCAACGGGTGAATGATCAAGGTTCTGATCTCCTTTTGGGGGTTTCCGAACATACCCTAAATAGTAGGATCCTTATTATAAGGACCCCAAAATAAGGTACCCCTCATTTTCGGAAGCTGTGGCAAAGGGAGATGCGTCGACGACTAGACAAGTCGGGCTGTCGCCCTGTGGGGGTACAACTCGATCCGCTAAGGTTGGGCCCTACGGGACTGCAGGGGGCTTTAGGGTTTAGGGGTTTCGGGCGCCGGAGCAGAAGGAACATCATTAGGATGTAGGATTCAGGGTCCTAGCCGAGGGATTACTTTGCTGTCACTGTTGAACCCCCTGTAACCCCCATCCCAAATATTACAATACAGCATAGTAAACCATACAGTGAGAGCCCTGTTTTTATCTGGTTTACGGTAGAAAATACTGCAGTTAACAATACAGTGACAGCCATGTTCTAATCTGATTTACATTACAAATATACTGCAGCTTACAAATCTTCCCATCATCCCCAGAATGCAGCGACACGCGACCGCCAACATCCCCGGTTCAGGGGATGCCACCCTATCTGTACGCAGCTTGCTAAGTCTGACGCTTGAAGCCCCTAAAATCCCAAAGCCACAGCCTTCGCTGCAGAAGGAAGAGAGGCCCTCCAACAAAAAGCCTGAAACCTAAGCCGAGGTTTAGGGTTTAGTGTTTAGGGTACTACCCTAAGCCATACAACCGAAAAGCGCCCCAAGCGTTTTTCTGCCCACTGCGATCCTTCAAGAAGTCTTGCATCCGCACAGGAGATCCGGTCGCGTGCCCAAAATTCCCGGGCGAGCAAGGGAAGGACGGGCGCCCAGAAGATTGCAAGAGAGCCCAACTTACGTACCGCTCCTGAAGGAAGACTGTAAGCTGTAGTAGTATCCTATCCCTAGATGAATTTCAGGGTAGAGTCCAAAACTACTTGGAGGTTCATGGGTAGATATAAACAAGGTTATAAGTACGGTAACTATAATTTATAACCCATATCAGGGGACTTATAACCATACTTATAACTACCCATGAACCTCCAAGTAACCAGCATGGTGCGTTCCTAG